ACTGTGTTGTTTTCTCTCAGTGTCGTAGTGATGAATCTATGTCTTATCACCAGTAACGATTTTTTAAAGAAACTTCTCCCTTCCTTCGAGTATCGTTCCAAATTTTATTTGCAGATGTCCAAATGCTTCTATTTATGCTTTTCTGTAAGTTGTTTCAGTACCATCTTGCACAAATTTTTTGAAACCTTAGTCTGTTGTGGATGATTTCACAGGCAGAGCCATGGCTGATCTGCAAATGATTTGCCACTTAGTCCATTGTCACTTGTCTGTTCCACTTGTACATGCTTAACATTGTCATCAGCTATGGATGTGCATTTTAATAGAACCAGAGTGTGGATCATTTTTGACTCACACTAGTAAAGTGTATCGGAAACCTCTGATTAAACAGAGAGAGCATACCTGCAGGCTGCAGTTAGAGTACACTTCAGTGTGGTATGGGTCTTAAGCAGAATTTGCTGAATTAATCTCAGGACACTTACAGTGAAAATGCCTGACCATCAGGGAACTTATATGGTTCTGTGCTGTTTCTGTGCATGCCTTGGGTCTGGGAGAAAGCCAATGCAGCTGCAGACTAGTTATGACTTTGGTTACCAGTCCTGGATCCAGATGCCAGAGGCTCCCTCTAGCGGCCGGTTTATGATAACAAAAGGAAGCCTTGCCAGCAGTGAGAGCTCTCAGCATGAAGCCCGCTGTGCTGCTTTTATTAGAAGTACTCAGACAGATGCTATGAAGAAATCACTTAGTAATTCTACTTCTAGAAATAGGTCACTTATGTTATTGTTTTAAGTGCCATTGAGTCCGTTCCAATTCATAGTGACCTTATATAGGGTTTCTGAGGAGCAGCCGGTTAGTTTGAACTGTCGACCTTGCTGTTCAAACTGACTTTTTGGTCCAGTGCTTAATCCTTCAATGCCACACCAGGATTCTATTTATGCACTCACTTAAAATTTATGAGCACTTGGGAATTATGTGGGTGAGAACAGAAACACAAATCTCAGTCCTGGAGGAGCTTATATTCTAGTAGAAATGAGGAAGATAGGTATAATGAACACAATAAATAGGCAACTTCTAGAGCTGCACTATCCAATACAGTAAATACGTACTACCACAGGGAGCTATGCAAATTAAATAAAATAAAAAATTCACCTCCAAATGTATTTGTGGGCGCTGTCAAAATGATGACTGTTTTCTTATGCAGGGATACCACAACAAAAAAATTTTTAGGAGAAAAGAAAATTTTAGTTTTTTGTTACAGAAGCCTCATTTCAAGTACTCAGTAGCTCTCTGTGGCTTTATTGTTGTTAGGTACCATCCAGGTGGTTCCAACTCATGGCGACCCTATGTACAAAGGACTGAAACGCCGCTTAATCCTCCGCCATCCTCACAATCGTTGCTATGTTCAAGCTTATTGTTACACCCATTGTGTCAGTCCAGCTCTTTGAGGGTCTTCCTGATTTTTGCTGACCCTCAACTACTAAGCATGATGTCCTTGTCCAGGGAGTGGTCCCTCCTGATAACATGTCCAAAGTGAAGCTGAGTCTCACCATTCACACCTCCAAGGGGAATTCTAGGTATACTTCTTCCAAGATATATTTGCTTGTTCTTCTGGCAGTCCATGGTATAGTCAATATTTTTCACCAATATCATAATTTAAAATACCATGACCATGGCTGACCCAAGCCATGGTATTTTCATTAACTTCATATGCATGTGAAAGTTGGACAGTGAATAAGGAAGACCATAGAAGAATTAATGCTTTTGAGTTATGGTGTTAGAGAAGAATATTGAAAGTGCCATGGGCTGCCAAAAGAACCAATAGATCCGTTTTGGATGAAGTACAGCCAGAGTGCTTCTTGGAGGCCAAGATGGCCAAACTTCATCTTTAATACTTTGGACATATTGTCAGGAGGTACCAGTCACTGGAGAAGGATATCGTGTTTGGCAAGGTGGAGGGTCAGAGAAAAAGAGGAAGACCCCCAATGAGATGTATTGGCCAAGTGGCAGCATCAGTGGACTCAGGTGTGGCAACAGTAGTGAAGTTGGCCCAGGATCGGGCAGTGTTTTGTTCTGCTGTGCATAAATTCGCTCTGGGTCGTTACCAACTCCTCGTTGGCACCTAACAACAAAAACATCATCATAATTTAAATATACCTGTTCTTCTTTGGTCTTTCTTATTCATTGTCCAGCTTTTGTATGTATATGAGGTTATTGAAAATACCATGGCTTGGGTCAGACACACCTTAGTCTTTAAAGTGACATGTTTGCTTTTTAACATTTCTAAAAGAGATCTTTTGCAGCAGTACTCAATACATCATTTAATTTCTTGACTTTTGCTTCCATGGGCATTGATTGAGGATCCAAGTAAAATTAAGTCCTTGACTTCAGTCTTTTTTCTGTTTATTATGATGTGAGGATTTTGTTTTCTTTATGTTGAGTTGTAATCCATACTGGAGGCTGTAGTCTTTTTCTGCATCAATAAGCCCTTCAAGTCCTCTTTGCCTTTAGCAAGCAAGATTGTATCACTTGCATATTGCAGGTTATTAATGAATCCCCCTCTAATCCTGATGCTATATTCTTCTTCAAAATAGTCCAACTGCTCAGATTATTTGCTCAGCATAAAGATTGAATAAGTGTGGTGAAAAGATGCAACCCTGGCACACACCTTTCCTAATTTTATTGTTTGTTTAAGGGACGCTGCCTCCTTTCCTAATTTTAAACCATTTAGTATCCGCTTGTTCTGTTTAAACAACTGCCACGCATGCGCAGGTTCTGCATGAGTACAATGAAATGTTCTGGTATTTCTGTTTGTAATTTATAGTCTGTACAGTCTAATGCCTTTGTGTAGTCAGTAAAGTACAGGTAAACATCTGGTATTCTCTGCATTCTGCTAATATCCAACTGACATCAGCAGTACTGTCCCTTGTTTCACATCCATATCTGAATTTGGCTTGAATTTCTGGTGGTTTCCTGTTGATGTACTGCTGCAACAATTTTATAACTATCTTCAGCAAAATTTTACTTTTGTGTGATATTAATGATACCATTTGATCATTTCTACATTCAATTTTATCCCCTTTCTTTGGAATGGCAAAGATGTGGGTTTCTTCCAGTCAGTTGGCTAGGAAGCTGTCTTCCAATTTTCTTGGCATAGACAGGTGAGCATTTCCAGAGTTGCATACATTTGTTGAAACAACTCAACTGGTATTCCTTCAGTTCCTGGAGTCTTGTTTTTCACTAGTGCCTTCAGTGTATCTTGGATTTCTTCTTACAGTATACGATAGGGTTCTGATTATATTTCACCTCCTGAAATGGTTGAATGTTAAACAGTCCTTTTTGGTTCAGTGAAGGTGTATTCCTTCCATCGTCTTTGGATCCTTCTATGTTGTTTAATGTTTTGCCCATAGAGTCTTCCAATGTAGCAACTCAAGGCTCGGATTTGTTTCTTCACTTCTTTCAGCTTAAGAAATGTTGCACATATCATTATACTTTCTAACTCCAGGTCTTTACACATTTTCATTGTATACTTTACTTTCTCAAGCCACCTTTTGAAATCTTCTGTTCAGCTCTTTTACTTCATCATTTATTTCTTCCTCTTTCACTTTAGCTACTCAGCAACCATAAGCAAGTTTCAGAGACTCTTCTGACACCCATTTTGGTTTTTTCTTTCCTGTCTTTTAAATGGTGTCTTGCTTTCTTTATGTGATGTCCTTGATGTCATCCCATAACTCATCTGGTCTTCTGCCATTAATGTTCAAGGTATCAAATATATTCTTTTTTTTTTTTAATTCTTATTATGAATTGAGTGATAGTTTACATGGGAAAACATTGGTTTTACACTCATCGTTTCATTGCAATGATTACAATCTCTTCTGTGCATCATCATTCAACTGTATTTGCTTCTATTCCCTTTGGGTTTTTTTTTTTTGGATGTACAGAAAAACACTTAGTAATATATAATCATCTCAACAACCAAAGGGCACATTCTGCAAGCCTGCCTCTGTCAAATGTTTTCTTAAGGTGGTCTCTAAATTCAGTGTTCTGCTGCTATCCATAAGGGTTTTTTTTACATGTGAGTTGCCACTGCCATATTGGACAGCACATATATGGAACATTCCTATCATCACAGAAAAATTCTATTAGATATCACCAGTCTAGAATGTGTTAGAAGGTAATCTGTGTGATGGAAAAATATAGAGGAAAGTTTTTTTTAAAAAATAGTACAGGAGTGGGTCAGGAGCTGCAATTTAAAATAGGGTTGCTGGGTGTGCCTAATTTAGAAATTATCTTTTAAATAAAAAACCTGAAGGAGGTGAGGGGGAGTGAGCCATGGAAATACCTGGGAGAAGAACATCTCAGGCAGTGAGGACAGACAGTGCAGAGGAGAGAGTCAGCAGGTTGGTGTGAGGAAGAGGCCAATTTGGCTGCAATGGAATAGGTGGGGGGAGCAGTAGGAAAGATGGGAGCAGATCCCATGGAGCTTTGTAGACTACTGTATTACCAAGTTGTCTGTTGCTGCATTGTTTGTAGCAGCAAAATTCAGAGATAACACCGAGGGAGTGGTTTGAGAAGTATGGTGTCTTTATGCAGTGGTTGGAAAGGATGACGGTCCATAGTATGTTCTGGGGATAGCATCCTGGACGCAGTGGGCTGCACTGAGAAAGCCATTGCCCTAGTAGACTAGAAACAGCCTGGAGCCCCTGAGAACTGGACTTCAGAATGACCCTGTGGGTGCTTGTGCTCACTCTGGTTCTCTGTCACCTCTGCAGAGGCTGAAGGACTGTTGAAGTCCTCTCAGACAGAAGACACACCCCAGTGAAAGAAGGGTCAGAGGGTTGGGGAAGCATCTAGGTATTGGGATCAGACCCTGTGGAATAGCAGGAAGGGCCAGGACATTTGGACACAGGGTGAAGAATTGTACAATTGCTATGAAGAAGGGGAAGCAGGGTGGCTTCTCTGATTGTATGCCCTGCCCTGCCCCTTCCCCTATGTTTCCCTGACAGCGGATGGTCAAGAACCTAGAGAAGGAGCTGGCGTTGCTCAAGCAGGAGCTGGCCATCCATGACAGCCTGGTAAGGTACTGAAGAGACACAGGACTCAGGGGGAGGGCTGATGCTAGAGGCAGGATGAGCCTAAAGGGACTAGGTTTAGGGGTGCCAAATGGTAGGAGGGTTAGGTAGGAAAGCAACAAAGGAAATCAAGGCAGGGATGCTAACTGGGCAAAAGGAATGGGTGGGCAGGGGGGCCAGGTGGCTAGGAGGGCACACTAACCACCTAGGAGAACCAGCTAGTCACCAGCCAAGGAGACTGAGGGAAAAGAGGCTTTGGAGCAGAGGGGCTCAGTTAGAAGAGAGGCTGTGTGGGCAAGAGTACTGAGGACACTGAGACCAGGGAGGCAGAGGGAGGACAGGCCAGGGGCAGGGCTGCCATGTGGGCCAGGAGTACTGGGAGAGCCTAGGAATAATGGTAGGAAGGTCTAGTGAGCAGGAGCAGAAGTAGGCAGGCAGGGGGCTGGTAGATCTGGGTATTGGGGTCAGAGGGTATGATGGTCAACTTCAGGGGGTATCGGGCAGGCTAGGGGTAAGGGTGCTGAGGAGAAAGAGGGGAGGGGAGGCAGCAGCAGGGGCCCTGGAAGACAGGAGGTAGGTCAGTAGGGCAGGCATTCTCTGATGGCCTGCCTGGACTGGTCCTGAGGGGGCTGTTGGGCAGGGGCAGCACTCCCTCCTGTGGCCCTCATGCTGCGGAGTCTGTTGCGACTCACCCAGCAGAGCTCCGTTGCCTGGAGCAATAGGCCCTAGTTCGGTGGCCTTTCTTTTCCTTGCCCACCGTACAGCCTCTCTTTGACCTAAGCACCTGGCCTGTGTGTCAGGCTCTCTCCACCAAAACCCAGGGGTAAAGGGAATAGAGCTGACTTGGGTGGTAAAGGGAATAGAGCTGGCCTGTGCCCAGTCTCCCCAGAATGGCCCCTGCTGCTCCTGCTTCAGTTAGCTCTGTGGAGCTTGTTGACATTTTTTATCCTTCTCCAAGGCCAACCGCACACTTGTGACCTATGACCCCATGGACGAAATCCAGATTGCTGAGATCAACTCCCAGGTTCGGAGATACCTGGAGGGGACTCTGGACGAGATTGATGTAAGGAGCCCCCTCACAGGACTGCCAGGCCTAGCCAGCTCCAGCTGCCCTGTAGTAGGCACACCCTTGGAACTTATTGTGTGTATGTGGTGGGCAGGAGGACAGTACAGGACACCTGGCATTAGGCCCTTCAGCCTATCATGGCCTCAGCTTCTGTGTTTAGGTTTACACAAAAATGTGGATGCTGCACAGTGACCTTGAACATGTGTGTAAAAGTGTAGTCCATCCCAGAGGTCACAAACATGGGCCCCAAAACCAAGCTGCTGGAATTCAATCCCAGCTCAGTGACCTCTTGGAGTGAACTCACTGTGACTCTGTAAAGGTTGGTAGTCAGGCTGCTTGTCTACAAGGCAGGCTCCCCAGGACTCATGTTAGAAGGGGTCAAGTAAGAGGAGAGAGAAATTTCACAAGGAGGGACCTTTAGGGGCGCGAGATGCATCCTGTTACACAGTTCAGCCATCCATCCCCTCTCATCAAAGAGTCACATGGTTGGATCTCCTGTGGGCAACTGAGGACAGCTGAGGGGCAGACTCTTCTGGCCTCTCAGTAGGGGCAAACTCAGACTGACCCTTGATCAAAAGTAATGCTGTGAGGATTTTAGTGCCAAGAGGGAGGCTACAGGTGTGTGTGTGTCGCTTTCCAATAAGCTCAGGCTGCTCCCAAAATATCTTTCGGAAGCAGGGGAGAACTGAGAACAAATTTTAGCAAATTTTTTTCTTATGAAGTATTTTCAAGAATTATTCAGTCATTTTCATTTTATAGAGAACAGCACTTAGAGCAGGTGATTTTTATAACTCACTAAATACTTAGTCTCAAAACTCTCATCAGGTGTTTCGTAGCTCTTGAGAAAGCCTTGACTGCCACTTTGCTGAGAGACTGTTTGCATACATCTAATCCTCAGAACTCTCTGAACATAGACACAGTCTCAGTCCCATGGTGCCCCATTCTCTAACCCCCACTTTGCTTTCTCCTCCAACCAGATAATCAACCTCAGACAGATCCAGGAGGTGTTCAACCAGTTCCGGGTGGTACTGAGGTGAGGGACCACCTCTGCCCTACCCTACTCCTGCATCAGGCTGACATTTTTCATTTCCTGCGACTGTCTAGGCACCTGCCTCCAAATGCAACTCCTCTACCCTCTTTCATATGTGAGGAGCCAGACTAGAGTCCTTGGGATATGCCTAGGCCCCTGGTGTCCCTGCCAACCACTGCTACAGAGCTGTTGGATCCTCCTGCACTTCACTTCCCTTGGGGGGAAGTGGGGAGGACAACCCTCCACTGGGCTGTCACTCAGAGAAGGGGTGGTCCCTGGAAGATGTTATACTGATGTCATTAATTGGACAGAGGTCTTTATGGAGTGGCATCATGAATATACCCACCCTGCTCCCTGCATGGAGGCATTAGTGGTCTATTTAAATGCAGACATGCCTATAGCCTGAGTAGCTCTCACAGAGCATGGCCCTGAGACAGGCATATCTCATTTTTTGTAGAGTTTTACAGATGTTTTGTTTTTTATAAATTGAAGGTCTGTGGTAATCCTGTATTAAACAGTTATACTGACACCATTTTTCCATTAGTATATGCTCACTTCATGTCTGTAATTCTCACAGTAGTTCAGACTTTTTCATAATGCTATTATTGCACACTTAGTGTAAATGTAACTTTTATATGCACTGTTGTTGTTGTTGTTGAGTTCCATAGAGTTGGTTCTGACTCTTAGCAACCCTGTATAGGACTTGAGCCACCAACTTTGCTGTTAGTAGTCCAATGTTTATTCTACAGCACCACACCCGGGTTCCAGAGTATTTAATACTAATATTTAACCTAGTCCTAGGAAACCAAAAAATTCTTGTGACTCACTTTATTGTGATATTTATTTATTGCTGTGGTTTGGAACCAAACCTGCAGTATTTCTGAGGTGTGCCTCTAGTCCTTATTAAATGTCATCTTGGAGCATTTGCTCCTGTTACATGATGGTGGCCCTGCAGGCTTGTGGGCTAGATGATGGGTATATTGGAGATGGGCCTAGAAAAGAGATCGTTTTGTCTATTCCATCTGGTCTGATAACTCCATCACTAGAGGTATCACCCAAACTAGTTCTAACATTGGTACTTGGTTTTGCCCCACTGGGTTCAGCATGACTCCAGGTGCAAGGTACTCTCTCACTCTCTCTTCCAAGCCAACAGGAACAGGAAGTGGAGTCCACTTTACGCAGGAAGTACACACTCATAGACAAGAATGACTTTGCAGCCATTTCTGCTGTCCAGAAGGTAAGCACAGGATGCCTCTTGTTGATGGCACTCTTCTCAGATTTTTCCATCCCCAGACCACTCCAGAGGCAGCAGGTGTGCTGCATTAAAGCAAATCAAGGGTCATAACAGATAACTGTAGCACCGGAATGAGTGTTACCCTTGCAAGAATAAACCACATATGAAGTCGAAATGATTGCAATAGATTGTAGAGGAGGCTAATAATAAACAAGACCAGTTTCTGGAGTTGGGTCAGAAACAGGCCTTAAGATCCTTAGGTCATGGATGGATGCTCCATAAACAGTGAGAGGATTGAAGTGGAATGTGGACAGTTGGCTGAGTGGTCCAGGACAGCCTGAAGTCAGCAGCAGTAGCCACTTTTCAGTGTACTGGACAAATATCCTACCCTGAGCCTTTGGTCCACATACACTGGGCTGGAGTGTGGGCAGATCCCCAAGGGACCCAAACACTTACTCTTATCCATGATCTTGGGCTGGGCTTTCCATTCAGGCAGGGCTCGTGGATGCTGATGGCCACCTAGTGGGTGAGTCTGATGGACAGAGCTTCGGGCTGGGAATTGCCCCTTTTTCTACCAAACCTGGGAAGAAATCCAAGTCCAGGAAGGCATTCAAAGAGCCTCCTAGGTGAGTGGACTTCTTGCTCCTCTTGCTCACCACCTGGTCTTCCTCCTGGACAGATGAAAGGGAGAACATGTCCCTTGAGTTTCAACCATTGGATATCACTGCTGCCAATTCTGGCAGTGACTGTGGATCCCAGACCAGGACTGGTTCTGAACCAGCCAGAGCAAGGTGTCACCCTTATCTTCACAGAAACCCCATGAGGTGGGAGTGTGATGGTCCCCATTAGACTGATGAGGAAAGTGAGGCTCAAAAAGAAGGTACCCTGCACCCCCCTTCACCCCAAGTTGCACCGTTGCTGAGTGGTAGAATTGTAATGAGAAGCTTGGGGGCACTCCAGTTATGCTTTTTCATGTACTTTGTGAGCCGCCTTCACCCACCCCTTCATCATGGTCCTTCCATGATCCAGGTGACAATCTTTACACCTAAAATCCCCAACTCATCTTTCACACAGTACTGTGCCAAGTGAGAAGACTGTCTACAGTTGATTGATGAGTCCTCCTCCTCAGGGTCGCTGTGGACAAGACCATGTAGGCTCCAGTGTCAATACCTGGGCTTGCCTCTTTATTCACTTTTTTAGCCTAAGGTTCACCTTGGGCGAGTCAGACAAGTCTTTCCCTTTGCTCCCTCTAACATGGTAGTAGTAATGGTCATAGAGAGCAAAGTCATTGAGGTGGTTGTGAGGATGAATGAGTGAATGAATGCAGTCCTTGCATGCAAAAAGTTCTCCATAGAAATACATTGTTATTGACACTATCACTTATCAAAGGACATGGGCCAAAGCTAGTTATGGAAAACTGTCACATGCAGGACAGGAGTTGGGGTGCAGGGGTTGTTGGATGCTAACTTCTGCCTCTTCAGTAAGGGCAGACACACCCCAGCCCTCTAGCTTCTGTTGCCAGGTAACCCGTGCAATAACAGATGGGTTGAGGCTTGGTCCCTAGAGGCACACCTGTTGCCAGAAGAAAAGAGGAGGAAAGAAAGGAGAGATCTATGGGCATCCTCAAGTCACTCAGTCCTGTGCATATGTGCCACTTCAACAGAGGGGCAGTTGCTCTCCTGGGCACTGAGTTAGGTGGGAGATCAGGGCATGAACACCAGGGTATGTGCATCAGGACAGACTGTGCCCACTTGACCATTTGCCCACACCCAGACCTACCCCGGGAGGAGGCTTTGCCATAGTTTCCTAGAATGCCTGCGTGACTCATACCTCAGGAGCCATAGGGCCTCCTAAAAGCCTATGGCACATCCGCAGGTCACAGGCTTTCAAGCAGTGGAGATTGTGCCATTCTGCTCAACAGTCTCCTGCTGAGGCTGTTAATAGAGGGCTCCTCATTCTGGTAAAGGAGAAAAATGAGCCCCTCTGCTGAAACACTCTCCATGGCATAGGGTTACACTCAGGGCTGAGACCCCTGAGAGACTCTTTAAACCTGAAACCAAAATACCCCTTGAAGTTTAGCTTAATTTATGAGTTTATGTTACTGAGGGAAGCATAGTTTAGAAAAGGAGGATGAGCATAGTTTCACAACTCAGTATATCAATGTCATTGAATTAACTGTACATGTAGAAATTGCTCCATTGGTGTATGTGTTGTTGTGTATATTCTTAACAACAACAAAAATAAAGTATAACAACAACAACAAAAGACAGGAGCTGAGGTGGTGTAAGGCTTCTGGTGTAGTAAGGGTTGAGGAAGGTCACTCTTCTGTGGCATCTGAAATACTTCCCTGACCATGGCTGCACCCTGGGGCTTCCTTGCCTTCTCTTTCCAGCACTTCATCAAGAAAGGAAGGTGCTGGAAGCCCTGGGAGTGTCAAGGATTTGGAAGCAGTTTCCACCTCCAGGACTCAGCTGATCACATCTGCCAAGGATGGAGAGGTCAAAGACATGCTTTCACGTGACCGTGATACCTCCAGCATTGAGCCCTTCCTCTCAGATTCACCAAAGGAGGATTCACGGCCACCCAGGTAACCACCTAATGTTAGCTCCTATATTTGATCAGCCAAAACCAGAGTGTGGTTCTTGATGTGTACAGAGTGCCTAGAGAGAGATGAGAAATAAAATTAGGGGTAAGGGGCAAAAGTGGTTCGACTCCACTAGCCACTCAATGTGAGAAAGATGAGGCAGTCTGTTTCTGTAAAGATTACAGCCTTGGAAACCCTATAGGGCAGTTCTGCTCTGTCCTACAGGGTCATTATGAGTTGGAATTGACTTGATGGCAGTGAGGTGATGAAGGAGCACAGACTGGGAGCATAATCCAAAAAGAAGAAACAGGATGACTTACCTCAGGAGTTACCAAAGATACTTAATTAAACTTGAAGTCATTTTAGGTTTAAATAATGAAGTCTATACATATTTTAAAATAAGTAATACATACAAAAAGGAACCCAGGTAGTGCTGTAGGTTAAGCTCTGGACTGCTAATTGCAACCTGGCAGTTCAAATTCACCAGCCCCTTCCCCACCCCCATGGAAGAAATACCAAGTTTCCTGCTCATGTAAAGATTTACAGCCTCAGAAGCCCTATGCAGGATCATTATGAGTTGGAATCAACTCGATGGCAGTGAGTTGGGTTGGGTTTTTGGAATACATTCAGGATGTACAAAGTTCTCAAGTGTGAAAGGGTGTAAACCTCTCTCACACATAAATACTTTTTCCCGTGAATCAGTAATCCAGTGTTTAGCTAGGACTGTATCCTAAGGAAATAAGGTGTAGTCAAAGATTTATGCAAAAAGATGTTCATTGCATTACTAATTACAAAAGCAAAAAACCAAACAAAATGTTTTTAACATCCTCAGTATCGAACATTGTTGTTTTTGTTGTTAGTGGTGTCAAGTCAGTTCCAACTCACTGTGACCCTGCGTCGGGTTACCAAGGAGTTGTTTCCAAGACGGGTCTGAACTGCCATCCTTGCAGCTGTCAGTCCAGTGCCCATCCTGCAGCGTCACACCAGGACTCCTCACGTTAGGGAAAGGCCTGAATGAATCAGTATCTCTGACCTTGGAATGTGCAGGGATGTGCATGATGAATTTCTTCCCACAGACTATGAACACTTCCAAACATTAGAGAAGTTGAAAGAATTGTATAGTGAACACGTATATAGCAAACATCTCCTTGATTCTACAATTAACATGTTACTAGAAGTGCAGCCAGAGTGCTCCTTGGAGGCTAGGATGGCCAAACTTCATCTCTCATACTTCGGACATATTGTCAGGAGGGACCAGTCCCTGGAGAAGGATATCATGTTTGGTAGGGTGAAGGGTCAGAGAAAAAGAGGAAGACCCCCAATGAGATGGATTGGCCAGGTGGCAGCATTGATGGAATCAAGCGCGGCAACAATAGTGACGTTGGCCCAGGATAGGGCAGTGTTTCATTCTGTTGTGTATAGGGTGGCTATCAGTACCGACATGATGGTACCTAACAACAACAACAACAACAACGACTAGTTTGGGGATTCCTGGTGTGGTGCTGTGGGCTAATGCATCAGACTACAAAGCCGTTTGAACTGCAAGGTTGGCGGTTCAAGCTCACCACTGCTCCTCGGAAACCTTACACAGGGTCACTATGAGTTGGAATCAACTCGACAGCACTTCACAACAACATACTTTTTGGAGAGGCAATGTGGATTCACATGCAGGACTGAGTTGTAGCTCACCAGGCACTCCCTGGAAACCCTATATAGGGTTGTTATGGGTCAAACCAACTCAATAGCACAACAACAACATCAACATACTTGTTTTGGAGTCCTGGTGTGGCTGTACTGCTAACTTTAAAGTTGATGGTTCAAACCCACCAGCTTCTCCTTGGAAACCCTATACAGGAGCACTGTGAGTCAGGACTGACTCACAGCACATAACAACAGCAACATACTTGTTTTTGGAGTCCCGGCATGCTGCAAACAAGATGAAAAGTTGGTGGTTTGAGTCCATCCAGTGGCACCTCAGAAGAAAAGTCTGGCAATCTACTTTTTATTTATTTATTTATTTTTTATTTCTTTTAAAAGCTATTTCATACTTGGCAAAAGCTCTTAAAGCTTTTCTTGCTAGAGACAAATAATAGCCCCACTTATACTTGAATGGCTTTTTACTGTTTTTCA